CTAAGAGATTTTGAAAACTAATTTTAAATGATTAAGAGATTTATACACAGATTAATGAAAAAAGTCAGTAATATATGGTATATGGAGATGGGTCAAGTCACAAGAGATTGAAGTACAAGGCAGCAAGGCTTGCCTAGCTGCCTTCCTGCTTGCTACACTGCACGGTTCATGGACGATTACCGATGAGCCTTAGAGGTGGTGACTATGGTTGACAAATGCCTGATGGTGATAAACACAATGTGATGGGCTCTTGTGTGCTACTTATTATTTCTTTAGACATGCAATCTGATAATGAGCTTGTCTGTCTGATACATGTGCTCTATTGTAAACTGACTCAGAGACTTCTAAGTGAATCTGGAAGAATCTATATTGGACCAGAGCCCAAGAGTTTTTTTTTTTTTTTTTAGCACTTCTGCCTTAGAAGTCAGAATTCAGGCAAAGCATAAATGAGCTAAATTATAGAGGAGGCATAAGGGGATCATGGGTCTTAAGGAATAGGGTGAGCCAGGACAGCCCTTTCTTAGCCTCGTGGCCCTTGATAGCAACTGGAGGACAATGGTTCAGCCTATGCTGTGCTGTGCTTGTCCGGCTCTTCACGACCCCACAGACTGTAGCCCACCAGGCTCCTCTGCTCATGAGGTTTCTCCAGGAAAGAATACTGAGGTGGGGTGCCATCCTCGCTTCCCGGGGATCTTCCCAATCCAGGAATTGAACTGGGGTCTCCTGCATCTCAGGCAGAGTCTTTACCAGCTGAGCTACCTGGGAAGCCCATGGGTCAGCCTGCATCACCTTAAGACATAAAACAGCATCCACCCAGAGGTGCAGTTGGACCATAAAGAATGCTGAATGCTGAAGAATTGATGCTTTCAAACTGTGGTGTTGGAGAAGGGTCTTGAGAGTCCCTTGGACAGCAAGGAGATCAAACCAGTCCATCCTAAAGGAGATCAGTCCTGGGTGTTCATTGGAAGGACTGATGCTGAAGCTGAAACTCCAATACTTTGACTATCTGATGCAAAGAGCCAACTCATTGTAAAAGACCCTGTTGCAGGGAAAGATTGAAGGCAGGAAGACAAGGTGGGACAGAGGATGAGATGGCTGGGTGTTATCGTTGACACGATAGACATGAGTTTGAGCAAACCCCAGGAGATGGTGGAGGACAGGGAAACCTGGCGTGCTACAGTCCATGCGGTCACAAAGAGTCGGACATGACTTAGTGATGGAGCAACAGCAACAGCAAGAGCACTGTCTCTAGAGCAGCTTCCTGACCAGCTGTGTGACCTCGGGTGAGTTATTCAGCTCTTGCGTGTCTCAGTGTCCACCCCGTAGAAGGAAACGGCAAAACCCCCTCCAGCATTCTTGCCTGGGAAATCTCATGGGCAGAGGAGCCTGGGGGTCTACAGTCTGTGGGGTCACTAAAGAGTTGGTCACGACTGAGCTACTGAAATAACAAAAATCTCAGTGTCCACAAGGATGAATGGGGATTGGAATGGGATCTACCTCACAGGGCCATTGTGAAGATTAAATGAGTTAGCGTGTGTAAAGGACTAGACAGGGCCTGGCACTCCGCTCGGGAAGTGTTAGCGCTCGTCACCATCATGTGTTAATTTGGCTTTTGCGTTGGGGGAGGAGGGGCTGGTCTTTGGTTTAATCTCCTAAATAAAAATTGCCAGACCTTGACTTTCGGCAGGGCAAGTGAGAAAGAGGTTAATGGTTTAAGCCTTTCTGAAAGAGCTCTGATGGGAAACATCAACCTTGGCAAATGAACTAGGAACAGATAAATATCCTCAATGCTCTGGTCACGTCCTCTATTTTTAGTAAGAAGCACATTTCCTTTTGGGGTGAACAGTAGGGACAAAAATAGGGCTCTTGAGATTACCACCCCGTTATTAACGCTGTTGAGGCACTTGGGCTTGCATTGAAGCCGACTGGCAAATGTAGCCTCATGAAAAGAGCAAATGTGGCGCATTTGGGATCCTCTTTGAGGAGGAGACAACGGGGATTTGGGTGCTGGAAACGCAGTACATGATCTTGTCTGTGGTTATCAACATTCTTAGATGGTGGGGAGGTGGTGATTCAGGTCATGGTTTTTAGGGGTCATGAGGTAGGGAGCAGTTGAATGTTATTTTGAGACTTCCAGAAGATGTTGCAGGCAGATAGGTGAACATCTGCAGTCTACATACAGGCAGGTTTACCTTTAATAGCTAATGGTTTCACCGGAGCCTATTTCTCAACTTCAGCAGGTAGATATTATATCTCTCAGAGAGTTTCACTTTCATTTGGAACCAGTGAAAGAATAGGAAAAAGAAAAATCAAAAGCATTGCCTAATGGCACGATTCTCCCCAAATCCTTTAAATCAACCTTGCCTTTCCCAGAATTGCCACGCTTTGTGACTTCTTGCATTAGGAGAGCTCACAAAGCTAAAAAGAATTTTCTGAGTATTCAGAGCTTTCATCTGAAGAGAAGCCTGCCGCACTGTGGGTGCTGGGGAAACATGTTTGTCTCAGACCTCCAGCCGTGTGCCACGGACAGGGGACAGTGGGATGCCCTTTGGTACAAGGAATTCTCAAATAGCTTTGCAAATTGGAAGGAGGTAAGACTTCTCCACAACTTCCTCTACCACCCGAATACATTTCTGCCATGGGCAGAGGGTTAGTGGATGCAGGTGAAATGAAGCTAGGTGGATGCTGGCCAAGTGCCTCAGGAGAAAGATCAGCTACTTTCAAAAGCGTTTTCTTTAAAACGTCATGTGGAAAACCTAATATAGATGGTTTCTGGTTAGAAACATAGGTATAACAAATTCGGTCCATTATGCTCCAAGAAACTAACAGTGAACTTAGCACTGCCATGATGATCTTAGAACTCCTGAGTTCATTTTGGGAACACACAAGACTTGGATATTATAGAGTATTGTACACTGAAATGAAGATCCAAAGAGAGACTGTGACTTTCCTTTTCTTGAAGACTTTTAGAAGGCCCGAGACTGCATGGGGGAGCAGATACTGGGAGCTGGCGGGGAATTGCTAGCTTCATCCTTTTCTATGATTCCATAAACTTCAGCCAGAAACTTGCTTTTGTAAATACTTGTTACATTTAACAGAAACCCAGTGACTAGACGGCTGATTCAGTATTTAAATTGTTCTGGAAAAACTTTTTAAAAACTGCTTTTGCATTGATATTTTACCAAGTAAGAAAAGACAATCATGGAAGAGCACAACCAACTGTGACCGCTACAAGTGGAAAAAAACCCCGAGCATAACAATGAGCAGCCTCATGGGTGGAATTGCAAGAAGACGGCCCAGGCACTCCTCATCTGCATGTGCAATTATGTATGGATGAAAAATTACAGGGGCTAATAATTACAGCAGCAATTGTCCACTTGCAGAACAATTAGCCCTTTGCTCCTCATTCCGAGAAAGTGACTAATTGTACCCACAGCAAGCCAACTATTGGTACATTTGTTTTGGAATGGAATTTGATGCTTGTCAGAAAGTTCCACTTGGGAGCTTGGGATCTGGGGCTGCCATGAGCCCCAGTGCCCAGAGACCCCAGGCTTTGAAATATCCACCGTCTAGCCCAGGACAGGCCCAGGTGTGCAGGCAAGTGAGTAAGGATGCCATAACCCTGGTGTACTTGTGGACCATGCCATGCCATCTCTGAATATAAAAAATGAGGAAAGTAAAAATAGACTCAGGTAATGATAACAATTATACTTAATGAGTACCTTTTATCGGAGATCATAAATTTCTTCTAGTTAAATTTCACAGCCTCCTTTGACATGGAAGGGAAAAATATTCGTAAGCTCTGCTTTTCTTTTTAGTCAGAGAAACGAAGCACTTTAGGCAGTGGTGAATAGCATTATATTTGAAATAACTAGAGGGTAAATCAGAGAGATTTCTAACTTCTTGCTCCAGAAATTACAGTCATTTTGCTCAGGTAACATTTTTTAAGGTGACATATATAATGTTTCAAGAGAACTAGAGATGGGCTAAAGAGATCCCTCACCCCCAACACACTCACATTCACAGTGAGGTTCCAGCAGCTTCCTGGTTTGATCAGCCAAGAATACAAAGTCTTAAGTGATGGGAGGGGACACAGAGCAGATGAAATGGCCCATCTCTGGGTGGCTTTCTGCGGCTCCAGGTTTCCTTGGGGGACACACAGCTGCTGGTGACACATCCACACGCCCATCAATTCTTGCTTCTGCAAAAACCTCAGACCTGGGCTCACATCACCGTTCCAGGAGGTGTGACTCAAGCAGCCACACATTTCCACTTGAGGAATAGTTGCATTTACTCTGGAAGATCACTGTCTTCTAGAACAGAGTCAGGGCCTTGGGGCCCCGGAACGTTCTTCTTGCCTCCAGTCTTTTAGGGTCATGGGGCGGGCCCCCCTCTGACTATGAGTATATTCCTGTTTTCTTTGGGGTGTTTTAATACTTTGATCTGAAGACTTGATTACAAATCTGTTTGACTGAAGCACACCTCTTGATCCTAGGCAGCTAGCCAGTTATTTGTTTTTGCCCTTGTTGTATGATGTGTACCAGAAAAATGCATCAGTGAACCAGCATAAACCCTCTCAAGTGTGCGCCCCCGTGGGCTGGTTTCACGCAGGTTTGAGAGCAGTACAGTGGAAGCACGTGGTTTTGTCCCCCACCCTCTCTGTTCAGAAACTGAGGAGTTAGTTCTTCACCGTCTTCTAGTCAAGGCTCAGTGGGCTTCCTCTCCTCTGGTTTGTATAGGTCAGCGCTGGGCGTGAGCCACCGTGCTGGTTTCTCTGGGATGGGGAGTTGGGTGGATGGGGTTCTCCTGGAGCAACAGGCCAGGGCCTCTCCCCACCTACAACCCCCTGTTTCCCTATCTGTCTGGCTCTGTCCCTCTTGCTGACGTTCCAAGTAACCACACACAGCCTTTCCAGTGGGTCTGTATGCCCCAACTCCCTTCGGTTATTCTCGCCAAAAAACGTATTTTCTAATAAAGACACTGGTGTTTTTCTCTTCCAGAGCTCAGTTGTACCCATGTCTCACCTCCCACCCCAGCAACTTCTACACTATTCAGTTTCCACTGCAGTTCCCTACATTTTACTGAAGGAAGAAGAGAGAAGCCCTTGTACATCACCTCTTTAGCTTCCAAGGAGACTGTTGCCTCAAGCCAAGATTCTAAGGTGACCCCAAAGGAAGGGAAAACACTTCTGAGATTTCCCTCTTTGGAGATGCTAGGCACAGTGCCAGACTCCCCTTTCATCGCCTCTGACTCTGGTCCAGCAAGTTCACTTATGACCTAAAGGGCTGTGTCGTGCTGAGTCATGTCCAATTCTTTGCCATTCTACGGGCTTCTTCCTCCAGGAGACCTTCCTACTCAAGGGTTGAACCCACATCTCATGAGTCTTCTGCACAGGCATATTCTTTACCGCTGATCCCCCAGGGAAGCCCAACCCAAATGGAAACACATCTGAAACATGGAAGTTGTACTTAATGCTTTAGCTGATTGTCTTGGCGGTGCTCGTGGTTTAGGCATTAAGTCGTGTCCAACTCTTGCGACCCAATGGACTGTAACCTGCCAGGCTCCTCTCTCCATGGGATTCTCCAAGCCAGAATACTGGAGTGGGTTTCAATTTCCTTCTCCAGGGGATCTTCCTGACCCAGGAATTGAACCCAGGTCTCCTGCATTGCAGGCAGATTCTTTACCAACTCAGCTACAAGGGAAGGTCTAAAGTGAAAGCCACTCAGTCGTGTCCGACTCTTTTTGACCCCATGGACTATAGAGTTCATGGAATTCCCCAGGACAGAACACTGGAGTGGGTAGCCTTTCCCTTCTCCAGGGGATCTTCCCAACCCAGGCATTGAACCCACGTCTCCAGCATTGCAGGCGGATTTTTACCAGCTGAGCCACAAGGGAAGCCCTTGAAACCATGTAAATTTGGTATTCTTGGAAACCATGAACATCCTGAAAATAATGTTTTCCATCCCTCTCTTCTCCTATGTTTCCCCAGACACACAAATATGTCACTGCATCAGGCTACATGTGCATCCTCGTTTCAAGTACAAATTTCAGAAAGCAGCAGCTCACTTTTTCACTACTAAAAATGCTGTGTCCTTATTTAATAAAAATGTGAAACTTTGTAAGACAAAATTTAATCCAATCAGTTCCTAGGACATTTGTTCAAATCTGGCCTGAGGTAGATTTGCATGCTGGGGGAGCTATCTGCAAACACTTGAAGAAGCTTAGAGTGAAGATTTTAAAATCAGAGTTAGTGTTTTCCTTGACCACTTTTTTTTTTTTTTTTGGTGGGGGAGAAGGTCAGTAAAGATATTTTTTAAAGCATTTTAAAAATAAATTTTATTTATTTGTTTGTGTCTGCACTTCATCTTCGTTGCTGCAGGTGGGCCTCTCTAGTTGCAGGGGTTGGGGCTATTCTTTGTTGTGGTCCTCAGGCTTCTCAACGTGGAGGCTTCTCTTGTGGAGCACTGGCTTTGTTGCCTCTCCACATGTGGAATCTTCCAGGACTAGAGATCCAAGCCGTGATCCCTGCATTGGTAGACAGATTCTTAACCACTGGACCACCCAGGGAAGTCTCTTTTAAAATGTTTTTTTTTTTTTTCATTTATTTATATTAGTTGGAGGCTAATTACAATATTGTAGTGGTTTTTACCATACCCTGATATGAATCAGCCATGGATTTACATGTGTCCCCCATCTTGAACCCCCCTCCCACCTCCGTCCTGAAATGTTTTGAATCGTCTTAATCTGTCCTGGTTTTGGCACTCCCCCCGCCCCCCATGGTAGCAGTTAGGTGAGCTAAAGTACCTTTCCATCCCATGCTCTCCCCTTCATCCTTCCAAAACCAGTTTCCAATTTCTGCCTAGTGGGAACGAGGATCCTTCAGGCTATGTTCCCAGATGACCGAGTTGAGAAACCCTCCAGGTTCACAGCCTTTCCTTACCCTTGGGGATCTTCACTCCTCCCCAGTGCGAGGACTGGCATATTTAGGAGAAGCCAGAGAATGATGCTCTGTGTTATCTTGCCCTTAGAAATGACTTTTAAAATGATCCACTGGGGCTGTCCTGTTGAATGTAAAGAAATGGATGGACTTAATAATACACCTCTTCCTCAAAATATCCCTCAAAAATTCAGTCTCTTATTAAGGACTAGGCAGTCTGTATCCAGGTGTTTTTGTCTGATTTCCTTCCTTTAACCTCTCAGCATCTCTTCCAATGACCAACATGGGAACAGAAGAGTCTCTGTGCTAATCCTACTTCCGACACAAACTGTGATGGCTCTGTGAGGGGTGTGGGTTGGCGGAGAAAACCTCTCCTCATATATGCATATATCCCCCCATCACAGACTCCCCTGCACTACCCCCAGGTGTGAAGTTACATTAAGTCCCTCCATGAAATAGATACACAATTTTATTGCAGTCGTTGAGGCCATGCCGGGGAAGAACACATAAAGCATACATCAGCGCAGCATCTCTTGGTCCCTGAAATACTTCATGGTGCCCTGGAGTCACCAGCAATATTGTCTAGTTCTTCCTAGATCATGAAAACACAATTCTTGCTAAGACCTTGCTCTTTTCTTAAAGTTGAAGTGTAGTTTATTTGCAAATACATACATACATATTCGTTTCCAGATTCTTTTCATTTCAGGTTGTTACAAGATACTGAGCAGAGTCCCCTGGCTATAACTCAGTAAGTCCTTGTTTTTCTCTTTTTATATGTAGTAGTGTGTATGTGTTAATCCCACACTTCCAGTTTATCCACCCCCTTTCCCTTTTGGTAACATAGTTCGTTTTCTATTAAGACTTAGCTCTTTTAATCTCAAACACTGTGTCAATAGTCAGAAAAATTCACACTAATAGTTCGTGTTGTTCAGTCTCTCACTCATGTCTGATTCTTTGCATCTCCATGGACTGCAGCATGCCAGACTTCCCTGTCCTTCACCATCTCCAGGAGTTTGCTCAAACTCATGTTCATTGAGTCAGTGATGCCATCCAGTCATCTCATCCTCTGTTGTCCCCTTCTCCTCCTGCCCTCAGTCTTTCCCAGCATCAGGGTCTTTCCCAGTGAGTCAGCTCACTGCATCCGGTGGCCAAAGTACTGGAGAGCTGCCACGTAAGGGAATGTTTATAAACATCCCTGATGTTCTTCTTGTCCTTGAGCAACACTTGGCATCAGTAAGACCAAGACTTCAGAATGAGCATTAATGAAAGCAAAGTTAATACCTGGGTGTTTCTGAATCACATCTGTGTCCATTTTCCTGGTAGTCCAGAAAACCCATGTCCCCACAATTATTTTTCATCTTATTTCTCCAAGTCTATACAGTGACTCTGTTGCCTCTTGAGTCAAAGCTAAACAGCCATCTAATCCAAGGGCTAATCGAAGCCTTTCCACACTTCAGATGTGTCCCGCTTTTCTGGTGTTTTCTTCACTGCTTGGTTGGTGAATTCTGCTGAGGTAATGAACTCTGTCTCCTTAATCACAAACCACATTTCTTTCCCTCTACACTTTTGCATCATGCCATGTTCCTCATCCAAGAATGTTTTCAGTCTTTCTAGCCTGTCTTATAAATTCTGTATATGCCAGGTATTTTTCCAGTCTGCATTTACTCCTTTTGGAATTTTCCTCAAGGAACTACTCATTCTCCTGCTCTCAGCCTCGGGGCTCTGGGTAGGACTTCTCTTTACTACTCAGAGATGCATCATGGTACCTGGGCCTAAGAGAATAGCATCCGCTTTCCCTGGCCTCAGCAACTGATGCAGGGATCAGCACGTGTCCCACTCAAAACTCAGAGACTTCTGCTGGGAATTCTGGACTGGAGGTAGAAACTTCTCCACTAGATCAGAATTTGAGAGGAAGAAAGTTTTGTCGCTACCGGCTACCATCTTGAAATTGTGAGATCCAAGCCAAGTGTAGAATAGGGCTAATCCTGAGAAAGTGAAGGAATGTTGAGGAGAGGACTGTGGGCCCTGCCCTGAGCCTTGAATTGAGCTGCACCTAAATCCAGCCCTGGGCTTCTTGTTATATGGTCTTTTTCTTTATGCTGTTTTACCTAGAAGGAGTTTTACTGGGTTATCTGTCCATCCATCAAACACCACTTAACACAAATTATTATAAAGATCATAGGGGAAAATGCATATGAAGTGCTTAACACAGTGCCTTCCATGAAGGAATTACTCAATAAATATTAGCTCTTCCTAGAGTGATGGTAGAAAGAGATGAAATCAATATCATAGTTAAGTATTTTAGGTGATAGTTTCCCCAACTCTTAAGAATAGTGGTGAGATGCTTGTCTTGTGCATGAGAGCAGGGAAAGTAGGAGGAAAATGCACCAAGCTCTGCATTTGATGTTGGACTTTTCCTTTGCTGTTTTCTAGATGGGTAACGGTGCCTCACGGCCAAAGATTGTTTTTTCATGCTCACGAAATTCCCTTCATCATCTCTGGTTTCCCCAGGTGTTTTGTCCTACCCTCTTATTAAGATGGGAAAGATATGCAAAGAGGCTTTTCTTTTTGGATTTTGATGTTGGCGTCTCCCATGGAGGACAGCACATAGTTTAACATCCTCACAAGACGCTTCAGTCTGCCATTTCACTGGATACTGATCTGAGTTTCCTCACGTGGCTCCAGTCTGTTAGGATCTTAGACAAAGACCATTTCCCAGGGGGCTGTCTACCAATTTGGCAGATGTTCCCCAAATGGGGAATTAATTTGCTCATTATTTCAGACGCATAGTAATTCGTTTGCTTTAGAAATATTTTCTGTTGCCTAAAAGTAAGATCTTCTTTGAATGGTTAATATCATTCTCCTCATCAGAGTTCAAATCCTAGCTTGACCGTTCACTGACTTACATAATTTTATCCAATAGCTTGGACTCTCAGTACCCTGAAGCAGCCATACTGATAAAATGCAGAAAGCTGTAATTTCCACTGGACATCGGAATATTGCTTTGTATGCTGATATTAATGTAAGATGTTCCAAAATAAGTGATCATTATCACCCTCAACCATTTTTAGCTGAGGGGTATTTAATAATGCTGACTCTAGTTTTCTTTTGGTTGGATAATCATAGGGTATGTGGTTCTAGTCCAAATAAAAGTTAATGTTTGTCTTGATTTGCCTTGGTCCTCTTTTCCCCAGTGCCTTATATCCAGAACAGTGACTGTCATTGCTGTTGTTTCAAAATTTTATTACATGCTGGTATTTTCGATGACACTCTGAAAGACAGAGGTTTCCCCAGTGCTTACCTTGGAGGAGAGACAAGGTTGATGAATAAGCATGAGAAATTTACCAATCCATCCAAGTATTTACCAAGTCTTTTTGTGAGCTTTCCCAAAGGACACTGGTTATAAATGAAAAGAAACCACTATTCTTTATTTTATATTCTGTAGAAATTGTTTCTCCATTGGACAAGGGGAACTAGCAGAAGCTATTAAGGATTCTTTAGAGAAACTGCACTGCAAAGTGGTATAATTTTCTCCATAATGTTATTCTAATTTAATAGTTGAGTTCTGGAATTTTGAATGAAATTTTTCTTTTCCTTTCAAGAATATATACTTTTGGACAGTGACAACGAAAGGGCAAATAGATGAATGAAGTTGACTCTCAAGCAAAATGAACTCCTAAGAGAAAAACAAGAATGATTAGTGAGGGGAGGGATTTGAAATGTGAGATAGCACACGTTGATCATGGAAGCATAAAAACAATGATGGGGGAAAAAAAACCGCTAGTCTTAAGATAGTGTTAAGCTCTAGGGAGATGGGGTGGAAAGGGTTCAGGAAAGTCTTCAAACAGCACCTCAAATGGATTTATCTTGTTTTATTTCTTGTTTTTTTTTTTAAGAGCAAATTTTATGTAAATATGGAAAAATTTTAAAATGTGTTAAATATGGGTGGATGGTAAACTGTTATGTTGTTGCTTGTAATTTTATATGTTTTAAGTGTTTTGCATGAACACTATTTTTTTTAAAAAAGAATTTAAGAGCTACCTTATGATCCAGCAATCCCACTCCTGGGTATATATCTGGAGAAAACCATAATTCAAAAAGATACATACAAGCCCCCCAGTGTTCATAGCACCACTATTTATAGTAGCCAAAACATGGAAGCAACCTAAACATCCATCAATGAAGGAATGGATAAAGATGTGATACATATATACAATGCAATATTACTCGGCCATAAAAAAGAACAAAATAATGCCATTTGCAGCAACGTGGATGGACCTAGGGATGGTCACATGAGTGAAGTAAGTCAGACAGAAAATGACAAATATTGTATGATATTGCTTATATGTGGAGTATAAAATAAGGTTACAAATGAGCTTATCTACAAAACAGAAATAGAGCTACAGAGGTAGATAACAAAATAATCGTTACGGGGTGAAGGGAGGGAGGGGTTGGGAGATTGGGATTGACATATACATACTACTGTATATAAAACAGGTAACTAATAAGAATTTACTGTATACAGGGAACTGTGTACTGTTTCAGGGAACTCTACTCAATACACTATAATGAACTACAAGGGGAAAGAATCTAAAAAAGGTGGACATATGTATATGTAGAGCTGATTCACTTTGCTGTATACCCGAAACTAATGTGATGTTGTAAATCAACTATAATCCAACAACAATTTTAAAAAGTAAAAAAGAATGTAAGGAAATGCATTATTTACCTGAGTAGAAGAGGAGAATCATGAAAGTTATGACTTGAGAGGTTAGAGTGTGAGTTTATATTCTGCATTTTATGAATGAAGACACCAAAGCCAGAGGGGTGAAGTGAGTTTTTAAGGTCACAGACCTTGGCCTCCAGTCAAGAGCTTTGTACAACATCTCATAAGAGTAACCCCAAAGCAAAATTTTCCTAATGATGAAATACACCCAGTCTCTCTCAGGTAAGGTTCTTCTCACTGCAGACATTACAGATATGTTTCAGCTTTTTTAAAAAAAAGACACTTTGAGTTTGAAATTCACTCAGTTCAGCAAATGCCCAGCAAGTGCAGAGCATCATGTGTTCTCCCAAGACAAGACTCTTATAGATCCTTTCTGCTTGTAACTAGCTTTCTGATATTTTTTCTTTGATTGATTTAATTAAGGCAGAGTGAGATAATATTGAACCCAAATGTCCTTGATACACCAAGGAGGGGTTAGAAGTCAGAGACCAAGTAGGATAAAATCCCAGGACATGATAGCCTTGAACTCTCTAGATATGAAATCCAACTTTTAAAATAAGTGGTAAAGGGGTGTCTATGGCCAAGTGAGGAGGAATAAATAGCCTTTAGATGGAAAACCATGAATGTTATGCTGTCATTATCAGTCAGAGATACAAGGTCTAGAAATATCAGATAGGAAAACCATCCCTCCTAAATCCTCTCTTTGACAGTCTATGTAACCAAACATGATTATGAAACGAATAGGAACAAGAAAGACAAAGGCTAGAAAGAAAAGCGCAGAGAAGGGGTTGTCCTCCAGAGCATGCTTTACGCTGGCAGACAAGAGGAAATAACCCCTAAAATGCAGAGCCTGTGAAACAGGAGATGCGGCTGCTTACGCTGGCAAATATGAGAACAGACTTGTGCAACTAGGCTTTGGAAGCTCCATCCCTAGACAAATTCTAGCAACAAAACATCTTCTTATGTGACTGAAACCATTTCCTTTAAGAGAGTGGATGGGGTAGCCATGTTCTCCAGGGTTCTTCCAAGTCTATGATTCTAAATCCGTTTCTGTCATCAAGGCCAGATGTTGGCCAACTGGAAGACTTCCCAAGTACTGTTTGCGTAGTGCAAGTTGGGTGCTTCTAGCTTCCGCAGTATGAATGGCTTGAAGGCGCTGGCGGTGCTGAGGTGGTTAGTCCTGCAAGGAGGCAGGTGCTGGCACCTGAGGATAGAGGGGAGATGCAGAACAGTTTCCTCACATACACTGGGGGGTTGCATATCTTCCTGTGCACATAGAGTCCACACATACTACTCAGCCATCTTCATGTACTGACAACGGCATCAGTACACGGCATCTCACACACTGACAATGGCGGATCCGAGTGTGAGGTTGAGGAGAGAGGCCGTGGAGATGGCTGCCACCGATACCCCCCCCACTGCTACCAGAAAGGTCACTGGGGCTGGGAGGATGAACAGCAAATGTCCAGGGATGAGGTGGAGATGAGATCAGGCCTAGGGGGAGAGAGGGCAGCAGGATTGACTATACTTCCCAGTTTGCCTGGGATAGTCTTGGTTTGATGCCTTTTTTCCCTGATAACTTGTTAAAAGTGAGGCCCCTTTCATTCTCAGAGGTGTCCACTTTTGGGTGATAAATTATATAGTTACTCTAGGGGGGTATTGGGCAGTAGGACAAGCATATGCACAGTCCATCTTAATCCGGGGAGGAACATTAAAGTCATTCCTTGAAAATTTTGGCACTGTGAAAGTTTGCGCTCTGACTCACAGCTGAGTTAAGGGGCAAAGTGTCAGCATCACCGCAATTCCTTACCTCCAGCTGCTGTGAATGCTGTGTATTTAAATAGTTCCTGTCTTTGAAGCTGCAAATGAGCCCTGTCAAATTCCTAGGGTTGTCAGGGTCCTTGCTGAGACGAGAGCCCAGCAAGGGCAGACTGACTTGACTCACCAAAATGACCTCCCCAGCTCTGTAAATGAGGGTCTGAATATTTTCTGCAAAAATTGCTTTTATAAAAACTACCTTCCCACTCGAATATGGAATGCTAAGCCACATCTATTTTGCAGCATGTTTGAGAATATATTCCCAGAAAATTTCACTGATTATCCTTAAGATCAGCCAACACTGACTACCACCCTTGTACAGATGAAAGAATGAATGATTAAATCTGAAAAGCAATGTGGGGTATTTTAAATGAATTGGGTTCTTTTGCCATCGTAATCATCTTATTCATGTGTTTCTCCCCCTCTGGTAACGTTTTGGTACACAGCCCATGTTCGAGATCACCAACGGAAGCAAGCACAGAAATGGAATGAACTTCAACAATAGACAGTTTTAGCTATTCCAGCCGGTGCTCCCTGTAGGCCAGGGAGTGCCTAATAATGAAATAAAGGTCTCAGGGCTCACCAGCAAACCACAAAGCAGCTAATTTGGTATTTCTTGCAGAAAAAGTACTGAAAGCTGCACAGGGTTTGTTTAGGAAAGAACTTGGCTAAGTTAGTTGATTAGGGTGTTTCAGGAAGATCAGATTACTCTCCATTCGCTGTCAGAATACAAAATAAAGATGTGAAGTGAATTCTATCTAGGAAGGGCCTTTTTCTGAATCCCATATTGGGGCTGGATAGAATGGTTCCACCAAAAGGAAAATCATGCCTTCTTCTCCACATAACTGCCCCCATCCCATACACACAGAGGTGAAAGAATAAAGAACACCCATCTCCTGTTGCTCTCGGGCATGCCCTGCACATCCTTAGAAACCTGGTGGGCATAATGAGAGAAGAGGAAAGATAAGCTTGAAACTAGGCTTGCAGCCACAAAGGCAAGATCTATGCCACTTGGGAGGAGAATGTTCACAGGAACGAGGGGGCGGCTCATGACCCCTCCGATATTTCACAGTCACAGTGGGAGATCGGCCTGCCTCCTCTCTTCGGTTCAGAGGCCAAGACAAGAGGACAAGAAATCCTGGTGGGTAGATGCCAAAGAAAAAGAAGAAGAAGAAGAAGAAGAAGAAGAAGAAGAAGAAGAAGAAGAAGAAGAAGAAGAAGAAGGGGGCTCCCAGGAGGGAAATGTTGCTTTTGTGCTTCCTGCCAGCTCTAGATGTTAGGAGACTGAAGGTGGTGACTCTGTGTTTTACGACTCTTACCTGTTTACAGAGCATTGCCGCTGGGCTGGAAATCGGTCACAGGGTTGCCGAGATGATGATCCCCTCAGCTCAGGGCCATGGAGCTGGCCTGGGGGCAGCCAAATCTTACTGGTGGTGGCCTCAGGCCATGAGTGGCTGCACCTGTGCTCCAGTGTGATGCTGAAATACCATTTCTGAATGTGTGGGGCAGTGAACCAAATTGGGAAGACTGGGAGTAGAATGCATCCCTCTGGGAACCCCTGGGTGGTGGTGGGAGTTGGGAATGTTGAAGATGTGGAGTTTCAGAGCAGACGGGTTGGATTAGGTCCCCTCGAAAGATCTGTCTACATTCTGACACCTGGGAACTATGAATGTGGCTTTCTTTGGAAATCAGGTCTTTGCAGATGTAATTAAGTTATGGATCTTCAGATGCGATCATCCTGGATTTAGGGTGGACCTGAAATTCAGTGATTGGTGCCCTTATAAGAGAACAGAAAAGGAGACTTGACACTAACAGGGAAGAAGGTCACAGGAAAGCAGAGGCAGAGACTGAAGCTATGACACAGGCCAAGGAGCTCCAGGAGCCGCCAGTGGCGGGACAATGCAGGGAGGGAGTGTCCCCTGGAGCCTGGGGAGGGCTGTGGCCTTGCCATCACCTTGATTTTGGAGATCTGGCCTGATAAACTGGTAATGAAAAATTTCTTCTGTGTTAAGTTGCCACATTTGTAGTAATTTGTTGTGGCAGCCCTGGGACGCTAATACAATCTCCATCTCACCAGCCTGTCATTGTGGAAAACTCCGACTTGTATGGACTCCACGTTCCTGGATTCTGTCCCTCTCTTTCCCCTTGTATACTTCCTTCTTTCTTCCTTTCGCTATTCCCACTTCCTCCCAGAGGTCTTCAGTAGCTCCTCTGCTTCAGGTACTGACAGGCAGGGGGCCTCCAAGACAAGCCAACACAGGGTCCCCCTTAAGCTCATTGGCAGAGAAGACAGACCTACACAGGTAATTTCAAGGTACAGTAGGTGTGGAGCTGCTGTCAGTACAAGGTGCGTGGGAATCCAGAAAGGGGAACAATTAATTCAGTGGGCGTATAGGAAGATTTCCCAGAGGTAGGAGCATTTGAGCTGCATCTCCTGAGACCTGAGTAAGATGAAGATGGGAGGGGAAAGGAACAGGCAATCTAAGCAGAGGGAAGATGTCATTTGGCTGGATCTCTGATGGATGATTCATTAGTGATGCATCGTTTACTGCACTTATTTTTACTCCTGTGACATGTGATGAAATATTGGGCTATTTTGTGCATTCCATTACCTACATTCCATTTTCTCAAAGGTCATTTCTGGGTTCAGAGTCTGGACTGTATTGAACATGGGAATCAATTACAGCCCAGAGGTGTCCTAAGAGGTACGGCCATTTCTTGGCCTGGGATGTATGGAGGCGCCATACTGAATCTAGGACTGTCTATGAAAACACAACTTACTGAAAAGGGAAAGTGAATCTAAGTAGAACAGGGCCCTTGGGTCTGCTTGAATACAGACCTAGGTTTCGAACTCTCCTGGATAATGGGGTACAGATCAGGATGCTCAAGGGCTCTAGTGATATGCGGACAAAGCTATGGTGAACTTTTTTAACCTAGGGGTAAACTGGCTTATGAAGGAAGATAAAATTTTTTCTACCTTCCAAGGAATGGAAAACCAGTATGACTGACTCATTTAAAAGTTAGAACTGCTTTTAAAGGCTAAGACTGTAGTATTTTTCAATTTTAAGTATGTTTTGACTTAAGTTGGATTTGGCATCTGAGTTTGAGCCCCTCACTTAACTCTTGGCATTCCGCAGTCCGTCTAGAGGCAGGCAGACTTAGTCTTGAAACATCAGAACTGTGGACAGTACCCCAGCCATGCTGGCCTATGTCATTATAACTCTTACCTTGGACATAGGTCACTGTTAAACAGAAAGGAGCCAGTTTAGAGTAAGTGGGTCGGGGGAGGGAAGCAGATGCTTGTGGTGTGGTGTGAAGTCCCTTGGTGTACAAGGTGCAAGCCTGACTCACCTCTCCTGTGTCTCCAGGCAAGTTATCTCACCCGTTTGTGCCTCGTTTTTCTCGCCTATAAAATGGGGACATCATTTTCTACACACGTTTGCTGTAAAATTAGGACGAGTCAGTACACGTGAAGTGCTGAGCATGTGATCTAGCAATCATTAAAGGTCCCGATCGGGACCATGGTTGCTCACGGCAGAGTCACAGGAGAGGATGATGTGAAGTGCCCAGCACAGGGCAAGCCCTTGGTCGACGCTCCATGAGCATGAATGACATCCCCTCGCTGCCCCCCTCCCACCCCCAGGTGCTTCTCAGCAGACCTAGCATTCAAAGGAAGGGTTCTAGAGACGCACTCCCTGTGAGCTCAGAGCAGATGGGGCGGGAGTGGGGTCCCCAGACTCTCGCCAACAAGTGCTGTCGCCTAACAGCCCTCCTCCAGGCCAGACAGTAGAGAGAGTCATCCCTGGTGGCAAACTCATTTCCTTAATGTCACCTCTATAAACTACCGCCAGCGCCGGCTAAGGAGCAACGGGCCCTGTATTTACTAATATGTGTGTGGATGGGTAGTGGTGTGTTCGGGGTGAGGCGGGCGGTCCAGACTGGCCTGAAGCAAGGGCTGCTTGGGGGTGTGGGCACATCCCCGAGCACGGGCTTGGTGCTGACGCGCAGGATCTCATTTGACGCATAGTAATGCAGAAGGGCGGGGCTTCCAGGTGGCTCAGTGGCAAAGAATCCACCTGACAATGCAGCAGACGTGAGCGACGAGGGTTCGATCCCTGGGTCGGCAAGATCCCCCGGTGAGGGCCTGGCAGCCCACTCCAGTATTCTTGCCTGGAAAATCCCATGGACAGAGGAGCCTGGTGGGCCACAGGGCTAGAGGGTTGCAAAGAGTCGGACACAACTCCAGAGACTTAGCTCGCACACACACAAAACTGAGGTTTAGTGGGAACAGTGACCTGCCCAGGACCGCTTGGCTGAGTCAGACGCAGTCAGACTTCGCTTCCTTCCCTTTCTCTTCACCCATCCATCTCTGACACCCCCCCTCAAGGTGAACACACACTTCCATTTTCCCAATAAGATATTTTTCTTCTAAATTTCATTTTAAAGGGAAAAGCAACATTTTTCTGTCCTTGTTGTTAAGTAAAAAGTGCTTTGTGCCCAGAGAAATACCTAGGAAACTTGAATGAATAACTTAATCGAACATATAAACTTTTTGTATAGTGAAAATATCATATTCTTGTAAAGATATTACCTAGTTTTGCTTTCAAGAGAGGAATAAACTAGGATATTACAGAAAAAGCCCATTTTCCTTATGAATCTGGAACAAACTGAAACTGGGATATTATTGCTACAATCATATATAGGGAAAAATTCTTTGGAGAGAGAATTTTTGAACTGCTTTAGATATTCATTTCTGTGTCTTAAACTTACATTTGAAAAGAGGTGGTAAAAAGAATCTGTAGCATTTCAGCTAGATCCATCTGGTTTCTCAGCCTTGGCACTATTGATAATTTGGGCTAGATCATTCTCTGTTGTGGTGGTGGTGGGGGGGTTGCCTGGTATCCTGTGTGGTGTTTAGTATCATCCCTGGCCTCTACCCGTTAACTGCCAGAGGCATCCTCACCCCAAAGTCGGGACAACCAAAGACATCTCCAGACATTGCCACATGTCCCCTGGGACAAAATTACACACGGCTGAAAATTACTGAGCTAGATGAAAAAATGTTATCATCCATTAATATTTGTGCTTGTCCTCATGGTTTGTGGCATTGTGTCAGGAATACATTTGCTTCCTGGCAGTTCCCAAGGCTGGAGGGGGACAGGAAGCACGGATAGGATCTTATTAGTACTTGATTTTTCTTCTATTTTGTAAATAACATCTTTATTGAGATTTAATTTGCATACCATAAAATCCACCCTTTCAAAGTATACACGTCACTGGCTTTTAGTATATTTGCAGAGTTGTGCAACTACTATCACTATTTAATTTTAGAATGTTTTCATTACCCTCCCAAAGCAACTCCATACCCATAAGCAGTCACACCCCATTTCCCATCTCTGGCAACTACTAATTTATTTTCTGCCTTTATTATAGAGCTCTGTTATTAAATGTGAAATATTTGGCTTGAAAACCCAACAGCCACTATGGATAGAGCCCCTACCTTTTCCCCCTCAGGTGTTTTATATCTTGCTTTAAAGTCCAGCTCAAGATTCTCTTCCTCCAGGAAGCATTCCCTCATTTCCTCTCTGGTCTGGTTGTCTAATCACCACCCTTTCCTCTCGGCTGTGGAGCTAATCCCAACTGTGAACTGCAGGGCAGCTCATCTCTGGCAGAAGAACTTTGTGGGGCAGACGCTACCATACCACACCATATTCAGGCCCGCACTTGGTAGACAGTGTCACGGAGTCAACAGGGTTTGTTGACTGATCTGTCCTGGGCCTCAAAGGATGTGTTGTGTGGTGAAAGCATTTAAATCTCAAAACATTTAATTCTAAAACAAAAAGATACACTATGGTTGTGATAAAAATAAATAAATAAATAAATAAATTAAAAAAAAAAAAAAACAACTTGATGCATCATGCCCATTTTAGAGGTAAAGAAACTGAGACCCAGAAGAGTTGATTAAGTTTTTCAAGGTCACTGAAAGTACTGCAGTGGGATTCTGGTCCAGAACCGAGGTCTATAACCACTGTGTAACACTGTTCTCTGGGGGAACACTGCCAGCACGTGTGATGTACGTTAACCTCCCTTACATCTCATGACAGCTCTGGAAGGTGGCTGTAATTACTCCATTTTCCAGGGGAGGAACCTGATGCTCAGAGAGATGACCTGTCATGCAACTCACCGGTGGCAGAGCCAGGATTCGAACCCAGGTTACACGAGCTCATTCCATGGGGCTGCCGAGAACAGTCCCAATGATCGGATTTCCAACGGTCAGCTTGGAAGCCTACTCCCATCCTGCTGGAAAGAAGAGCCGCTGGTTTTTTAAAATGATTTTATTTATTTATTGCTGTGCTGCGTCTTCGTGACTGCACGAGCTTTTCTCTGGTTGTGGTGAGTGGGGGCTACTCTCTGGTTGCAGCGTGTGGGCGTCGCACTGAGACAGTGTCTCTTGATGCCAAGCCCTGGCTCTCGGGCCCTGGGGCTTCAGTCACTGCAGCACGTGAGTGAGCTCAGCAGTTGTGGCTCCTAGGCTCTTGAGCACGGGCTCAACAGTCATGGCTTACGGACTTAGTGGCTCCTCGGCATGTGGGATCTTCCAGGATCAGGGATCGAACCCCTGTCTCCTGCATTGGCAGGAGGATTCTTTACCACTGAACCACCAGGGAAGCTCCAAGAACCCCTGATTGTTACAGGGAAGTTGCTTGGTTTTCTTACCTCCGAGTGAAGGTGAAAAATACAAAGAATTTCTCTAGAAGGATCTGAAAAGTTATCCCTGTTGGAGATAGAGACAATATGGCAAAAGAAACACGGGGCGCTGTCAACCTTAAGATCCTGAGAAGTTGTTAGGAGAAATAAGGACTCAGCTGTTTTCACGCCTTAAAGACTCTCCAGCCTTGAGGACTGGCGAGCGTGTGAGTTGACATGAAGAGAAGGGATGGTGGGCAGGCTGTACTGGTCAGGGTGCTGGCATCACTCTTACCTGAGAGGCTCGCCTCCTGCATAGGCTTGCTGTCTGGCAGACAAGCGCACCTTGAACGTGATAAATATAGATGAACATACTTTGAACCTGAACGGAAGCTCATCAGAAAAGAGCTAATTATGAGGCTTGTTATTTACATAATTTAGATGACAATCTTGAAAACATAGTTATACTTCAGAGATTCATGACTTTAATCAGGCTGCAAATAATGACGAATAGCACAGATAAAGCAGGCTGATTTGCACAACTATTAAACGTATAGGTCAGCACCTATACATAGAGCAAAATGCCAGGCATTGCAAATGATCGCAGAGCCATTTGGAGAAATGAGATAATGGATCAAAAGGGAAAGTGTGGAAAATAAAAATTGATCAGGGCAGTTATTTGAATGTGGAATTAGATGGATCTGTAACTGCTTTAATCCAAGTATATAGCTGTAACATAAAAGAGTACATCTTAGTGAAAGTTTAGTGGGTAGGAGCTCAGTATAAATGAAAGGATTTTATTATCATAGAACCATAAAGTTCAATTTTATGCAAATATAAAAAAATGACAGACAATATAACAATTGGGCTATCCAAGAAATAATATTCCACAGATGTCATCTACTTTGGGGCTGGCTATAGACAGTTTGATTGCCTTAATAACAGATAACTGACCACATGAAATAACTAGCTCTGTCTCTGGAGGCTTTATCTTGCCTGCAGACTTTTATCCATGCCATTCTATCTGTCTGCAGGGCCCTGCCTCTTCTTGTGGGCCCACAAACACCTTTCTGTCATTCAAGACGGAATGTAAGGCAATCTGGCAGGGTAGCAGAAAGAGGACTTGGGCTTGGAGTCCAGCTTAGTCATTGCCTGGTTGGCTGGTCTTACTGGTTTACTATTAATAACTTCTCTGATCCTCTGACCCTCACATCCTCCAACACTGTTCTAAGTCACTCAGTTGTGTCCAACTCTTTGCGATCCCATGGACTATAGCCTGCCAAGCTCCTCTGTCCATGGGATTTTTCCAGGCAAGAATAGTGCAGTGGGATGCCATTTCCTTCTCCAGGGGATCTTCCCGACTCAGGGAGAGAAACTGTCTCCTGCATTGGCAGGTGGATTCTTTCCCACCTGAGCCACTTGGGAAGCCCCCACATCCTCCAACAGGCAAGGTTAATCTCCCTCCCTAACAAGCTGCTTTAACAATTTCTCTTTCCGGTTTCACTATCACAGCATTCACAAGTATAGTCCCCTTGCGATTATGTGAATGTGGCATTTGTGTTGCAGTCAAGGGTTTAGGGTTTAAAAATTGAAGCTGCCACTTGCTCGCTGAGCCTCAGTTTTCTCATCTTCAAAATGGGACTAGTGCCTGTTGAGGCAAAGACTGCCAGGTGATGAGCAAGCTGTTCCTCTTCCTCCTGGACAAACAGCCTCCCCGCT